AAGTGGAATACACTCCATTCCAGACAACGGCATGAACGGCCAACCTTGCACCAATTGGATACCCAAAACTCTACTTCCGGAGCCGCGAACCCAGAAGCAACAAAAACAAATCCTTGGAACCAATGCCCTGAAACCCCAAGGCCGTGCCGAACCCCATAACACGAGGGAAAACTCCACAACCTACACGTGTCATCGCAAGCCTACAGCGGCCAAAACAAAAGCACAAGGCCTTGCGATGCTGTTCTGAAAGCCCCGAAACCCGCACTCCCAAAGATACCAAAGCAAACACCCTAAACCCAACCCCAAACCCCAAACCCTACACCCCCAAGACTCCAAACCCCCAACTCTTGTAGATCCCCTACATAAACCCTAAAACCAACCTTCAAAACCACAGAAAACAGCAAGCAACAATGACACCCCAAACCCAAAACCCTTATAGATCCCTTCTTGAAACCCTACAAACCCCATTAAACCCACCCCACCCACCCAGCCACCCACCCCAAACAAAGAAGAGAAAACACCTTAAACAAAACTGTGCCTCTCGGGCAGAGCTCGGAGGAAGTCCTCGGACTCCGAGCTGGGAGTGCGGCTGGTGACGAATTGGACGTTCTCCTGAAGAGACAGAGTGGACTTTCTCGCAGGGGTTTGGGGTTTTTAGGATTTAGGGCTGGGGTTTAGGGGTTGGAGCCCGTTCCTGGGGGCCCAACGCTTTTTTTCAGAATTTCTTGCCAGTGCTCGTTTTAGTGGGGCAAGTCTGACGTTGCGGTTGCTTTCGGGTTTGGTGGTCTTTGGGTGTTCTTCGGCCTTTTGGCGTGAATCCTGGAGGGCTGGCATGCCAGAGCCAAAGGTCAGAAGAAAGAATCATGCCTGCAAAGCCTGAGTAACCGCTTCCTCAGTAGCAAGAGCCAGCTGTCTCGGACAGATCCTGTATGTTGCGGCCAATCCTCTCCTCTGTGTCTTGCCTGTTCTCAGAAACGGTAGGTCTTCGATGCCTTATCTTGCGTGAACAACGGTGTCTTCGTGTGTTCTTGACTAGGACATCGAAACGCCTTTTCTTTACGACCCTGGCCGTGCTTTGACATGTCAACGGTTGAGTCGATAAGCCAAACCCAAAGGCCCACCAGTCTCGAAACCGCCAGACTTCTGACCACTACGTTTGGGTGTGCTCCCGGCGGCAAAGACCCGCAAAAACAGGGGGGTTGAGGGGGGTTGGGGGGGAGGGGTGAACCCTAAACCCTAAATGCGAATAGTTTGGGTGGCCGAGCGGGGTCAAGAGCGACTCGACTGTGCGACCTGGGACAGATCACGCCAACCCCCAACAACCTCGCAGGACACACCCCGAACCCTAAACACCCCCACGTTTGGCAAACCTGTCCCTCCCAGCATCCTCGGAGTCGGCATCGGAGCGGTTCCCCTGCGGGCAAGGCTCTTTACCAGGCTTCCGAGCTTCAGGCTTAGGGTTTGGGGTTTGGGGCTTTGGGGCTTTGAGTTTAGGTTTTGAAGGTTGAGTGGTTAATCACGCAGGTGGATCGAAATTTGTTTTTTTCAAGTTTATTTGGGTTCTTGTAGGGTGTCACCAGGGTTTCATTCGGATTCTTCGAAGGGTGTTGTAGGGCTTTCAAACAAGTTCTGCAACTGGTTCTTAAAGTCCTCAGGCCTGAGGGTTGGGGCTTGGTCTATCTTTGGGCGCTTTGGGCAGGAGGTTTAAGGCTTCAGGCTTTGGGGCTTCAGGATCCAGCATACAATGCTTTGGGGATTTTT